ATATCTCAATCACAGATACCAATAGAGACAAAATGTATCAAATCTCAAGATTTCGGCTCAATTCCTTCATCCAATACCAAATATAGTACCAATCGGAACTTTTTGTACAATTATAGTACACATTTGCGAAACCAACTTCATATGTCTAGGCTACACATGAACAGTGACCCTAATATCAAATTTCCGATTGCAAACACTAAACACCATCTCTTCACCATAGATCAAATTGTACCAAATAAAGTACTATTTAGTACTTTTCGTGCACTTGTAGTACAAATTTCCAAAACCACATCCATTTCTCAATCCCAGACCGAATTCGGTATTCCAGCTTTACTCAATACCAAATTTAGTAACATTTAATACTTTGAGTAAAATTTTAGTACTCATTTGCAAAACCACCTCCATATTTTAACCACAAACATCAACCCTGACATCTATATAAAATTTCAAGATTTCAGCCATATCTCCTTTATTCAATACCAAATTTAGTACCATTTAGTACTTTCCAAACAATTATATAACTCAATCCTAGATACCAACAGAGACCTCAATAGCAAATTTCAAGATTTTGGCTCTATTCCTTCATCCGATACCAAATATAGTACCAGTCAGTACTTTTCATACAATTATAGTACACATTTCCAAAACCACCTGCATATGTCCAGGTTGCACATGAACAGCGACTCTCACACCAAAGTTCAGATTTCAAGCACTAACTGTTCACCCAATACCAAATTGTACCAAATAAAGTACTATTTAGTACTTTTCGTGCAGTTGTAGTATAAGTTTCCAAAACCACCTCCACTTCTCAATCCCAGATACCAATAGAGACTTCATTATCAAATTTTAGTATTCCAGCTCTATACTTTTACTCAATATCAAATTTGGTAGCCTTTAGTACTTTTCGTATAATTTCGTACAATTATAGTACTTATTTCGGAAACCACCTCTATATGTCCAGGCTGCACGACTCTAATACAGATTCAGATTTCAAGCAATCTCTGTTCACCCAATATCAAATTGTACCAAATAAAGTACTATTTAGTGCTTTTCGAACAGTAATGGTACATATTTCCAAACCCATAACCATATGGCTATTACCGATACTAATAGAGACCTTAATGCATAATTTTAGGATTTCAGCCCTATCCCTTCACCCAATATCTAATTTAGTACCTTCGTAAAAATTTAGGATTCATTTCAAAACCATCGCCAAATCTCAAACAAATTAACCAATAACAAGGTAAGTAACATTCAGTACTTTGCGTACAATTAAAGCACACATTTCCACAATCACTTTCATATGTCTAGGCTCTATCCCTAGCTTCAGCTCTATCCCTTTACTCAATATCAAATTTAGTAACCTTTTGTACTTTTCTTATAATTTTAGTACTTATTTGCAAAAATACCCCCATACAAACGCCAACATTGACATCTATACAACAAATTTCAAGATTTCAGCTCTAATTTAGTACCACGTAGTACTTTTCGAACAATTATAGTAGATATTTACAAAACCACCTCCATATCTCATTTTCAGATACCAACAGCGACCTCAATATCAAAATTTGAGGATTATAGTACCATCTCTTCCCAAATACAAATTTAGTATGATTTATATCAAATTTCCGAACAGCGACTCCAATACCAAAATCGTACCAAATATATAGTACTTTTTGGTACTTTTCGTGCACTTGTAGTACAAATTTTCAAAATCTCCTTTTTATCACAAATCTACTAAGGAGGTTCCCAAAACAAACATTTCAGAATTCCGGCTTCATCCTATCACCCTGCAACAAACTGTTCCAAATTAAGTACTATTTAGTACGGTTGCCACATTTAGTACATATTTCCAGAACCACCTTCATATATCAAACTTATTTTCCAAGGCTGATTCTCATACCGAATTTCAAGTTGTTACCCATCCACATAATACCAAATTGTACCGTTTTAAGAGTTTAGTCCGATTTTGGAAATTTTCGTAACCTTAAAGTTCGAATTTGCAAAAAACCCTTTGTTACAGCTATCCTGCTCTCCACCAGTGACTCTTATTCTTAATTTTAACGCACATTCCGTTTGTCCAATACAAAGTATTTAATTGTGAGTACTTTTCGTACCCTTTTAGTACGCACCTTCACACCAAGACTGGCCCTTGTGCAAAATTTCAAGATTTTAGCACTTTCTTAACATTTTAACTTAGGACCACAGTTCTCTATCTTAGTTCTGTGTACGACTGTTTAAGTTTTATTATTTTGAAACGCATAACGTCAAATATCGCAAAAAATAGTTACGTTGTACTTAAAAAGTTCATTGTCACTAACTTTCTATTAATAATTACAAAATAAAAACTGAAAAAAAAAATTAAAAATAAACCGCATTGCAAAAAAAGGTCCATGACAGTGCAGCTGTTATAACAAAATGTTGTTGTTAATAATATAAACATCATTGTTTTTCTAAAGAAAAAAAAACAGCAACAACTGGTGGCAAATTAATTTCCGTCAACTAATATTCGTCATAAAGTCAATTGCTCTCATCAGTGGTCGAATGGGACGAGTAGCATCAAGTTTTGAATCGATTGACCCATTTTACCTGTAACACGTGCAAAACCAGTAAAGAAAGTCTTAAAGTCGGGCGGGGCCGACTTTATGATACCCTACACCACCTTGCTAATTTAGTAGAGCTCCGCATAACAATTAAAAGTTTTTATGGGAGAATTAATTATAATTTTTAAGTTTAAAAGACTAAATATGCCAAAGCAATTGTATCTTTTCAATTCGGACTTGTATTGCCCCTTTTGATTTTTATGGGAGCTATATGCAAATCTGAACCGATCTTGATAAAATTTGGCAAATGTATTTCTGAGCTGTATTTGATATATTTCCCCAAATATTTTTGTTACAGAGTGCATATTACGGCTGCGGAGGACTAAAATAACAAATCGGATGAAAAATATATATATGCGAGCTATAGCTATATCTGAACCGATCTTCACCAAATTTGACATACCAGCTTCTAGACTCAATTCGGTCGTAAGTGCCAAATTTCATCCCATTTTGCCAAATATTAGACGTTTGGTGCACAATAAAAGGTAAATCGGACGAAGATATATATGGGAGATATATCCAAATCTGAACCGATCTTGATAAAATTTGGCAAATATATTTCTGAGCTGTATTTCATATATTTCCCTGAATATCGTTGTTACGGAGTGGTTATTACGGCTGTGGGTAACAAATATAACAAATCGGATGAACAATATATATATGGGAGCTATAGCTATATCTGAACCAATTTCGATCAAATTTGGCATACTTATTTTCAGGCCTAATTTGATTGTATGTACAAAATTCCATACTATTCGGGCTGATATTACACGTTTGGTGCACAATAAAAGGTAAATCGGACGAAGTTATATATGGGAGATATATCCAAATCTGAACCGATTTCGATAAAATTTGGCAATAGTATTTCTGAGCTGTTTTTGATATATTTCCCCAAATATTGTTGTTACAGAGTGCATATTACCGCTGCGGAGGACACAAATATCAAATCGGATGAACAATATATATATGGGAGCTATAGCTATATCTGAACCGATTTCGATCAAATTTGGCATACTTATTTTCAGGCCTAATTTGGTTGTATGTGCAAAATTCCATGCCATTAGGGCTGATATTACACGTTTGGTGCACAATAAAAGGTAAATCGGACGAAGTTATATATGGGAGATATATCCAAATCCGAACCGATCTTGATAAAATTTGGCAAAGATATTTCTGAGCTGTATTTCATATATTTCCCTGAATATCGTTGTTACGGAGTGCATATTACGGCTGTGGGTAACAAAAATGACAAATCGGAAATAAAATATATATGGGAGCTATAGCTATATCTGAACCGATTTCGATCAAAATTAGCATACTTATTTTCAGGTCCAATCTGATCGTACGTGCAAAATTCCACACTGTTCGGGCAGATATTACACGTTTGGTGCACAATAAAAGGTAAATCGGACGAAGTTATATATGGGAGCTATATGTAAATTTTTACCGAGTATCTCCAATTTCAATAGGGTTCGTCCTTGGGTCAAAAAAATGATTTGTGCAAAATTTCATCTGGATCGGGTAATAAATGCGAACTTTTCTTTGTCCATGTATTTTCAAAAATACATGGACAGATGGACGGACGGACATTCATAAATCGACTCAGAATGTGATTCTATGTAGATCATCAAAGGGAACTATGGGTCTATCTCTTTTCCTTTTGCCTGTTACAAACAAATGCACAAAGACATAATACCCTGACCACCTTGTGGTGTAGGGTATAAATATCATACTTAGTTGTTAGGAGTGGGTGGTAGCACTAATTCTAAGTTCCACTTCTTGAATGAAGCACGAGCTGATGGTGTGTTGTATTATCTCCACCTCCTACCTCCCCCTCTCCCGCTTTCTCTCTCTTTAGACTAATTGCTGGCGTGCGTTGATAATTGTTTTAAATATTAAGCTTCTTAATTTGTTGTATATTACTGGCATCTTTTTTTTTTTGGTCCATTTTTATCTCCATTTGCTTAGCTATGTAACTACTGGAAGTGAGTATGTATGTATGTGTGTGTGTGTATATGTGGTTCACCGTAACGACAATTCTATTTCTTTACTTGTCACTCTGATAAAAATAAAAACTTTTAGCATTAGTGGGATCAGCATCCGAGCCACAGCATCTAAATTATCTCTGCGGTCGTAACTCATCTCGCTGGAGAAGATCTTTTGTTTGTTTTGGCGCCTCCAACAACACCTCCCCCCAAAAATCGTTAGCGTGACATTCACACACTATCATCATTGCACACATAAAAATTGAAACCCCCAGAGAAGACTATCTTTCTCTTGAGAGTTATAAACAAAAGTAACTGCTTTTCTTCAAAGAAACTCATGTGTGTGTGTGTGAGTGTTTGCATTAGTATTGGGGACTGGATTTCAGTTTTCTGAATGGCGGAAAAATCTTTAAATTTCAATTCAGTCTGCAGTGTTTTGCCGTGTAATGAACGTCCATTAAATCGGAACAACATCTCTGCTCGTTAAAAGGATTGATGTGACGGTGTGTGTAATACGACGCGTCTGACAGAAATCTGATACTATAATACAGCGTACGATCGTATTGGCGGTTAGTTAAACTCAAGTGCATATCCTTCGAAAAGGATCAAGTGTTTGAAAATTAAAAAAAAAAAATCTAAAATAAAAAAATTAAAAATAAAAAAAAAAAAAAAAATTAATTAAAATAGTACAATTAGTAAATACTGAGAACAAGTGTTATTTTGAAACGTTTTCAACTTCTGTAACTGGAATTATGTGAAATATACGTTGTTGAAATTCAAAATTTATTGTGGAATTTTTGGGACCAAATTAGTTCTAGATTTTTTTACAATTTTTTTTATTTATTTTTGTGTTAAATTTTCATAAAACAACATAAATATATTTATATATTCTATTATTTGGGAATTTTGTACCATTTTCCTTTTTAGTAAAAAACTCTAAGAATGTACAGTGTGGTACAATTTGCTACAATTTTATTTGACACGAAAAAACTTGTTTTCGAAACGAAAAAAATCTATTTTTGTCAAAGATATTAAATTATAAATTTACTCAAAGTACTTCGAGTACTTCTAGGTAAAAAAAATTGTCAAGCTGTTCGCAAGACGGTACTATTTGTACTCAACCGACCGGTTCTCCATATATATTTTGTCAATATTGTACAGGACGAATTTATTGTCAGATTGAGATAAACTTTTCCAGGGACGAATCCTATTGAAATTGATGATTGGTGGTCCAAATTTCGATATAGATCCTATATATATTTTCGTCGGATTTCGAAATTATTGTGCGCCACATGCGTAATATTAGCAAGTGCCCGCTACACATGCAGGGTGAGATAAAAAATCTGCAACAAAGTCAAACGCCATCATTTTTATACCCTCCACCATACTATGGAGGGTATATTAACTTTGTCATTCCGTTTGTAACTCCTCGAAATACTCATATCAGACCCAACAAAGTATATATATTCTTGATCAGCGTAAAATTCTAAGTCGATTTAGCGATGTCTGTCTGTCTGTCTGTCCGTCCGTCCGTCTGTCTGTTGTAATCACGCTATCTTTCGAATGAATTGAGATAGATGGCTAACATTTTGCACACATGTTTATTTTTCCAGTAGGCAGGTTAAGTTCGTAAATGGGCTATGTAGGTCCACGTTTTCATATAGCCCCCATATAAAGGTACCTCCTGATATTCGGTATTTTGATGATTTTAGAGACATTATTCACGGGAATTGTTTCAAATTTGGTATTTGAAGTTCGTTATGGGAACTACATTCTGTGACAGAAAATTGTCTGTGCGGGTCCAGGTCTTCGTATAGGCCCCATATATCAGTACCTCCCTATATTCGGTATTTTGACGATTTTAGGTACAATACCCACCGAAATTGTTTGAGATGTGGTATTTGAAGTTCGTAATGGATGCTACAGCCTGTGACAGAAAATTATCTATGCAGGACCAGGTCTTCGTATTGCCCCGATATAACCGTACCTCCCTATATTCGGTATTTTGATGATTTTAGCTACCTTATTCACCGGTTTTTTCAAGTTTCGTATTTGAATATTGTAATGGCTTATGACAAAAGTTGCCTATGCAGGTTCACGTCTTCGTTAAAGTTTTTTCTTGAAAATTGCCAAATTTGTTCCAAATGGTGGATGGTATTCAAAGTTCGACCCGGCCGAACTTACAACTGTTTTAATTATTTTTTTTTTTTTTTTGAAAAATGCCAAATTCCTTCCAAATGGTGGAGGGTTTTCAGAGTTCGACCCGGTCGAACCTAATGTTTGTTAGAGTTTGGAAAACTTTTTTCCAAGGATAACTGTAACAGAACAAAAATATTATTTATTAAATTTGTGTGTGTGTGCCCAATAAACGGTCAAATCGAAAAAAGTATTGTAATGTGCTAGGTCTGAATATTCTAAATTTTGACATTTCGTTGGAGAGGCTCTAAAAGTATTGGGTCAATATCTTTCATCTTCGCACTGATTGAATAAAATATTACTATCGCTGTGGTTTCAGGTTCAGATCGAAGTGTATACGATTTATATGAGATATAAAAAGTATTGCTAGAAGTATTTGAAGTTGCAAAGTTTGAAGAGATTCAGCAATTTATTTCGAATTTTCTAATAGTAACGAGTATTAAAAATATTGACCCTTTCTGGGGAGGTATCAGATCAATTCGACAAAATCGAATACTTCAAACGATCTACATGAGATTTATATTTTTATACCCACAGCCAAACGATAAAAGTGGGTATGTATCATTTGTTACAGCCTCACCGAAATTAGACCCTAGGTCACTTTGGAGCAAACCTGTTTCAGGACATTTGGAGTCAATGTAGAGGTGTCCGCCCCTCAGTCAGTCTGTCTGGCTGGTGTGCATGATAACTCTCTGAGGGAGTACTCATTTTGATCCAAACTTGGTACATCGTAATATTATTGTCACACTTAGATCGACTTCGGAGATGGGCTATATCGGTCCACCCTTCCTGGTACCTCCCGCACAAAAGATCGAAATTTTCAAAAAATATATTTGACTGCACAAAAAGAGAAAAGATCATCCGATTTTGCTCCATCTTTGCAAATCCTAATATTTATTCTCCATATCGCCCACACTTTAAAAAAATTAATAAAAAATGTGGTCACCTTAATTACAATAGAATTTCAATATTAAAACAGTGTAGGCCGCCTGCGCCTATACTGTGTTATTTAAGTTCAATATCATACCCGTTTGCTATTGAATATATTAAACATGTCCTCCCGCTCCATCTAAAAAAATAGTTTGGTTACCTTAATTTTAATATTTTCATTATTTACTTCAATCGATTCAAGAAAAAAAAAATTGAAAAGAAAATTTGACCAAAATTGCAAGCAGCGACGAATCGGCAACAGGGTTTTTTAAGACCTATATCGTATCAATTTTGCTTTAGGGGACATGTTAAATGTCAAGTGATTTTTGTTGAAATGAACGCCACGTAAAGAGTTTTTCGTGAGTCGGAGCCCTTTGTTCGGAGGCCGATAAAGATGTCAATCCCAGATTGAAACCCGGTTTTATTACCATCACTGACAGACAAGTCCTTGAATGGACTAACCCTATTGGGCACCTCTTCGTTATCGATCTAATTTTAAAATGTCCTTAAATTTTTCCCACTGCCCATGGCTTTCATCTCAAAATGGAATTTCTTTCAAGAAAATCTATTATAACAAGTATGGAAAAGTCAAAGGCGGGGCGAGCCGATTATATAATACCCCACATATTTAGTAGAGCTCCAGTTACAAAATAATTTATTTGAAGTAGTTGTTACCACCTATCAACCTTTGGTACCAAATATCAGTTTTGTTGAATACATATTACGCTTGTGAGGGACTTTAACCTCAAACGGATAACACATATATATATGGGAGCAATAGCTATATCTGAACCGATTTGATGTATTTGCTTCTAGACTGAATTCGGTCGGATGCGGCAAAATTCAGGCCATTTGGATTGATATTGGCAATTTGGCGCACAATTAACCCGAAATCGTTTGAAGATATATGTGGGAACTATATCCAAATCTGAACCGATCTTGATACAAGAGGTATTTCACAAAAGTATTTCTGGGCTGTATCTGATATCTTATACCAAACATCATTCTGGTGGGGTGCATATTACGAATGTGGTGGACTTAAACACCAAATCGGAGGAGACTTATATATGGAAGCTATGGGAGCAAATTTGATCTATTTGTTTCTCGACTGAATTAAGTTGGATGTGTCAAAATGCAGGTCATTTGGACAGATATTGGCCATTTGGAGCACAATTAACCCGAAATCGGCTGAAGATATATAAGGGAGCCATATCTCAATTTGAACCGATTTTCAACAATTGCAATAGGGTTCGTCCTTGGGCTAAAAAATTTTGTTTGGAAAATGTCATCTCAATTGGATAATAAATGCGACCTGCATTTTGTCCATATTGACGGACGCATGCATAAATCGACTCATAAAGTGATTCTATGAAAATCCTTAAAAGTTACTTTGGGTATATCTTGCTTCCTTCTCCATGTTACAAACAAACGCACAAAGACATAATACCCTTGCCATTATGTGGTGTAGGATATAACCAGGTCTTATGCCCTTCACCCCACCCTATCAGCTGGGAATACGGTATCTTACAACTCCTTGAATGGACAAGACCAATAACCCTATAGTACTTCTTCTATCAAATCTAATTTGAAAATTTCCTTCGAAATTTTCCCACTACCCATTGCTTTCACCTCGAATTCGAATTTCTTCCAAGAATATCAATTATAAAAATGGTGTCATCGCTCATTGAATCTTTTTCACAGGCTTATCGTGTAATTTGCTGCAGTCTTTTTTTGAATGGATTTTATTTTCCAAAAAAAAGTCTGGACACGTTTTCCCATTAATTTGATAATTTGGCAGTCGACACCACTCCCCCTTCCCCCCTACGTTCAGCTGAGATAATGCAACAGCATCATCAGCAGTCTACTTTCGAATTCAAGGTCTGCGATTCTTTTTGTTTCGTTCTTTTTGTGCTAATTGTTTGGATTTTCTTGGGCTTTGGCAAAGAACAGAGACAATGTCAATGTCAATATTGAAATGTTGGCCATGGTCGACGACACAGCCTGGCTGTTAGTATTTCGACCAGATTTAGAAAGCAGAATTCCACAATAAGAGAGAGAGACAATTTGTAATCTTCAATCATTAACAAATTTATTCGATGTGTTCGAATAACAGCAACAACAACAACCACAACAATAAATTCAGTTACAGAAGTTTAGGTGGTTCGAAGCTAATGAAGGTTTCATAACCAAAGTTCGATGACAGACCGAACAAACGAACAACAAAACCAATGGAAAACTTTCATTTCATTTACAGTGGAAATGCAAACAAAATTAAATTAATTCAAAGTGACGACGAAGTAGAAGAAAAGAAGAGCGTGAGATACGGACCCGCGGTGAGGGACGAACGGCGAAACGACAAAGACTCAAGAACGATAAGAAAGGAATCGAAGTGAAAACAAATTTCCATTAAAATCAATAACAGAGTGTAATGCGAAGCGTTGTCATCACCCACCACAACCCGCACACACACACACACACTAACACACCGAAGAGACCCAGACGTAAACACACACACACAGCCACACGTATACTCACACAGAGACCTCAAGTTGCAAATTGAGATAAAGTAGCGACACCTCCTAAAGCTGGTCTGGAATGCAACAAAGGGGAGACGGCAAATATCAGAAGAAAAAATAGCTAAACTTAATTAAGTGCGGATCAAAGGAAGTTGTCGTCGTCTGAACTTTTCTCATAACCCTCTCCACCCCTCCCCCATGTCGAGTGAACCAGCAGGTGGTCAAATCATAACCACTACACCGAGTGCCACAATAATGGCCAGCTCACAGTTGGCAGGAAGCAGTACCCCCTCCACAACCACCACCACCAGCACGACAGTTGCGGCCGAGATTGTGGGCTCAACGGTGGCCGGCATTAAGGAAACTATGAAAACTTTAATTACAACACCAACAGCAAGAACAACAACCACAACCAGTATGGCCACCCCCTCGACCACCACAATTTCATCCGTCTCCTCAACGGCCGCCATATCCTCCAGCCTGGCCAACGATCCGACCAAACAAAGTGTGGCCGATCTAAGCTCGTCCCTGCAACACTTCGGCATTGTCGACTACTGTGTCTTCGTTCTGATGTTAATTATTTGTGCCGCCATTGGCTTCTATTTCGGTTTCATCGAAAAGAAACAGAAAAAGAAGGGCCAAAAGGGTAGCGCCACCGAACAGCGACGTGGCTCAGAGGCTTTGGATTATTTGGTGGGTGGTCGAAAGATGAAAGTGTTTCCGGTCTCGTTGTCACTGGTAGCCAGGTATGTATGCGAACAAATTTTTTCTTCTTCTTCCTGGTTTAGAGTATAGCGATTTTCCACAAAAAGGGGTAGAAGTGGTGGAAAAGTTTTCCACTTTAATTTATGGTCTCTCGTTTTCTCAAAGGCAAGTAAAGTTATTAGGAAAGTGAATGACAGGAAAATAACACAGGAGATTGGGAAACATACACACATACCAATTCGGAAGAGGAAAATATGAAGAGGATGAAAGTTACAGATTAGAAGGAATAGAAGGATTAGATATACCCTGCGACAAGGATTTTCTAAGGACCTAGAGAGCCTGATATGGGGATTATAAAACAGTTTTTTAGGGTTTGATATATCTTGTAGCAAGAATCAAGATAGCCATAAAAAGGGATCTTTAAAGGACCTTCACAAAATATTTTTTTAGTTCAATAGAACACGTGAAATATTTTTTAAGGCCACAAACATGAGTTTTTCCAATATTTTCCAAGAAAACAAGTGGTTTTCTATGAGAAGACCTAGTCCAGTTCTTCTATAAGAAGACCTCGTCAAGGTTTTCAATAAGAAGACCTCTTCCAGGCTTTCAATGAGAATATCTCCTTCAGATCTTTTAGATCTCTTCCAGGACTTCTATGAGAAAACCTACAGGAATTCTATGGGAAAACCTTCAGAAATTCTATGGGAAGACCTACAGGTCTTCTATGAGAAGACCTACAGGACTTCTAAGAGAAGACCTACAGGACTTCTAAGAGAAGACCTACAGGTCTTCTATGAGAAGACCTACAGGTCTTCTATGAGAAGACCTACAGGACTTCTAAGAGAAGACCTACAGGACTTCTAAGAGAAGACCTACAGGACTTTTAAGAGAAGACCTACAGGTCTTCTATGAGAAGACCTTCAAGTCTTCTATGAGAAGACCTACAGGACTTCTAAGAGAAGACCTACAGGACTTTTAAGAGAAGACCTACAGGACTTCTAAGAGAAGACCTACAAGTCTTCTATGAGAAGACGTACAGGACTTCTAAGAGAAGACCTACAGGACTTCTAAGAGAAGATCTACAGGACTTCTAAGAGAAGACCTACAGGTCTCCTATGAGAAGACCGACATGTCTTCTATGAGAAGACCTACAGGTCTTCTATGAGAAGATCTCCTCCAGGTCTTTCATGAGAAGATCTCTTCCAGGTCTTCTATGAGAAGATCTCTTCCAGTTTTCAATGAGAAGACCAACAGGTCTTCTATGAGAAGACCTAGAGATATTCAATAAGAAGACCTTCATGTCTTCTATGGGAAGTCCTCTAGGTCTTCCATAAGAAGACCAAGAGGTCTTCCATAAGAAGACCAAAAGGTCTTCCATAAGAAGACCAAGAGGTCTTCCATAAGAAGACCAAGAGGTCTTCCATAAGAAGACCAAGAGGTCTTCTATGAGAAGACCAAGAGGTCTTCCATGAGAAGACCAAGAGTTCTTCTATGAGAAGACCAAGAGGTCTTCTATGAGAAGACCAAGAGGTCTTCTATGAGAAGACCAAGAGGTCTTCTATAAGTAGACCAGGAGGTCTTATATGAGTAGACCAGGAGGTCTTATATGGGAAGACCAAGTAGTCTTCTATGAGAAGATCAATAGGTCTTATATGAGAAGTGGTCAAAGTGGTCTTCTATGAGAAGACGAACAAGTCTTCTATGAGAAGACCCAGGTCTTCTATGAGAAGGCCTCCAGGTCTTTCATGAGAAGGCCTCCAGGTCTTCCATGGGAAGACATCAAGGTCTTCCATGAGAAAATCTCCACGTCTTCTATGAGAAGACCTCCAGGTCGTCTATGAGGAAGACTTTCGGCTCTTTTTGAGGAAGACCTTCGGCTAATATTTGAGAAAAACCTTAGGCTTTTCTTTGAGGAAGACCTTCAGCACTTCTATGAAGGAGTCCTTCCGGCCGTTTATGAGAAGACCTTCGGCTCTTCTGTGAGAAGACCTCCAGGTCTTCTGTGAGAACTTCTCCAGATCTTCTGTGAGAAGCTCTTCTTCTATGAGGATACCTCTAGGTCTTCCATTTGAAGGGCTACATGTTTTCTATGAGAAGAACTCCAGATTTTCTATCAGAATACGCTTTGGTGCCTATGAGAAGATGACCTACTGGGCTTCTTTAGTGAGAATAAAGCATTTTGAGCATCTTTTATTAAAAAAAATTACCATCTGTTCCTTTTTTATAAAAATAAGGCTGTCTCATTTTCTTCTATGAGAGAAGGCCTTCTGGTGTTCTTTTATGATAATGCTTTTTTTGAAAGCTTCTATGAGTAGAACGTGTGGTCTGCTACGAGAAGATCTTCTGATCTTCTAGGAGAAGACCTTCTAGACTTCTATGAATAGATCCCTTAGTAGTCTTCTATGAGGTTCCATTCTTGTCTCCAACGAGTATATCATCCGACCTTCTTGGATTAGATCTTTCAGGTCTTCTATGGGAATAATTGTCTTCTAGTTTTCTTGGGTGAGACCTGTTGTCTGGCCTTTTATGAAAGACCTTCTCTTCTAATCTTCGATTGGAAATGTTTCTTTTCTCGCGTTCTATTGAAAGACCTCTTCTGTTTTTTTATGAAACATTTTATGGTCTTCCACAAGAAGACGTTCATGTCGTCTCCAAAAAAATTTCAAGTTTTCTGATTTTAAATGAGAAGGCCTTTTGGTTTTTTATAAGAAGACTTTTGCTTTCTCGATGAAGACCACATTTCTACGGCTTTATCTGAATACCTTTCACAAACCATATGAAAAAATTAGTATATTCTACCCCAACAGTAGTGCGGGCTATGATAGCAAAATACCAAGAAAAATTCATTGAAATGTTGCCATTAATGATAGTTTCTTTCAGTTCTACTTAATTTTTATTAGTTTTGCAAAACTTTTTCTCCCCCCCCCCTACTCCCTAGAGTTGTTGAGTTGTTGAAATGAAAGGATATGGCATGGCGATAATGATATTAAAAGGTTTAGGATATCGATTTGCCTTAATTATCCTTTAATGAATTGAGCAGTTATGAGCTCTGCTTTAAATTAAAGATAAAATGTTTGGGATTTAAGTGGCATTAATAGATTTGTAAATGAGTTTGTGAAGTGAGGTGAAGCGAAAGGTTAAAAGTTGGAAACATATTAAAAATCAAATGATGAGCCTTACGCTGTATCATTAAAAAATTTTCTATTGTAATTTGTTTTGACTAAATGGGAGTGGTTTTATTGTAATTTCTGGCTCCTGCTGTTATAAAAGATTGCTATGTTATATCAAATATGGGCGAGCTTTTTCACTTGCTTCCAATCTCCTAAGTTATTTTTTTATTCTTTTTCAAAAAATATTGAATATGTACTTCCTTTACATCGGCGAAATTATAGAAGGTATTGGTTGAAATATTTTTGCCTTACCGAAGCTGGATATAGCCGTATGGGTGTTTTAAAAAATGCAATACTATTTTACATGACCTGATCTGATTTTACCCATATTTTTTTCAAACGCTGTTTTAATGCAGGCGATTGGGCGCCATCTGGCAATTGTCAACTCACGTCCCTTTAAAAAAATATGCTTCTACAGTCTCTTTAGTGGGACGTCAGTAGATAAATCCTGGATGGCGCCCAAACATCTGTATCAAAATAGAATTTCGAGAAAAAAATTAAAATCTTTTGAAAATAGGCAATTTGTGAGTTAATCCTATTTTATATGAAAATGTTCATTGAAATCTGCAGTTGGCCGCCATCTGGCAATTGTAAACTCATGTCCCATTAAAGAGATATGTTTCTCCAGTCTCTTTAGTGGGACGTAAGTGGATAAAAAAAATTAAAATTCTTTTCAAAATAGGAAATCAGTTGTTTTGGGAGTTAATCCTACTTCGTATGGAAATTATCAACAGTTGGGCGCCATCTAGAATTTTCAATTCACGTTCCATCTGCAAGAGAATATTGTTTGCAGAAAAAATTGATATTTTTTTGGGAGTTTAATTCTTATGAAAAAGTTCAAGGAATGAAAACTTTGGGCGCCATTTAGAATTGATGAAGTCATGTCCCACTAATGAGACTGTATATATAATATATTCTAAATGGCGCCCAATAATATCAATGAAAACCGAGTTTGAAAAAATCGCAATAATTAAAAAAAAAAAATAAGTCAGTCATGTAGACATATTCCTACATCAAACATTTGATTTTAAGTTAATCTGCATTTCGTAGGAAAAGAATGTCAAGGTATAGAACGGTTGGGCGTCATCTGGACGACATCCAATCAAAAGAGCTATAGTCATATTCCAACAGTCACTTTAGTTGGACACCAGTCAACAAATTCTAAATGGCGCCCAACCATTTGTACAAAACTAGTAAGCAAAAGTCAAAAAATCGGGCGGGCCGACTATGTTATACCCTACTCCACTATGCATTTTTAGTGGAGCTCCGGTAACAAAAGAATTTATTTGAAGTAGATCATACGGCCTATCAACCTTTGGCTTTAAAGCAGTTATAATTTGGTTTCAGAGGAAACGAATACAGGGTAAGATAAAAAAAAACTGCAACAAAGTCAAACGCCATAATTTTTACATTTTTTTTTAATTTTATTGAATGAAAGCAAAAATGTCGGAAATAGCATCAAATCTTAGAATAAGTTTAGATCTGTTCGAATTGGTCACCTTTGGCACGAATTATGGCCTTCAAACGGCCAATGAAACCGTCACACGCTGAAGGAATGTTGCTCTGCGGTATTTTGCTCCATTCCCGGCGAAGCGCTTGCTTGAGGTGATCGACACTTTGGCATTTTTTAGTGCCAGCCTTGCTTTCCAAAATACTCCAGACACAATAGTCCAACGGCTTGGTATCCGGAGATTTAGATGACCATTGTGGGCTGCAAATGAATCGAAGAACCTCATTTTGTAACCATTCTTGGGTGGCGAGTGCTGAGTGCGATCGTGCGACCATCGGCTGTTATGGTGGCCCACACCATCATCATGGCTGACGCTTGAGTTCTGGTGATCAAGCGAAGGTGCACATTTTCAGCTGACCTC